TCGAAACTTCAATTCATTGTATGACTCTTAGTTCAGACAGCGATTCCGTACGCCGTACGTTAGTCCAACAGAAATTTATATATCCTAGGAGGAATAGTAGGACTTTCCTCTCTAATTGATGGAAAAGTCATAAAAATCCTAATAGAGATTATAATATTTTCCATCAAGCTCCCACCATGTCTCTAACGAAAAATTCTTAATGTTGACGGATATTATAAACGCGATGTTATATAAAATTGTTGATTATTCAAAGAGAATAGACTTGCTCACCTATTGATATTATGAGTATTACCACCCGATCCTATTTTATGTTGTTAGATGAATTTTAATTTCGAGATTTTGTGTAGCGAATGTATTAGATCTTATTTGTCTAATGGTATATAATGAGATAGTAATACTCACCACCAATTAAGGATGGTGAGCACATATGTGCTTTCTACGTGTTGTAATAACATATGAGTTGATTATGTTATGTGACGGTGTTCTGGTTACACAGAATAAATTAGAAATTTATATATGGGCGGGCTGCTGATATCTCTCCACATAAATATTTAAGTGAAATTTCATTCATTTCTTCTTAAGAATGAGAAAACTTCAACGTTCTTCCCCATGAGAGTGGTTGAGTGGCTAGAGTGGGTTGGGCTAATTCTTGCTTCCTGGGCTATGCTAATATATGTGCGTGGCCGGTCCAAAATTAGCACTAATAATTTTTCTTTTCGTCAACCTTAGGCCATCTCCAGTTATGGGTTATGAGCCAAATATAGCTTTAAAATAATACAAAACTCATCTCCAATAATGGGCTAAAAATATTTTTGGCCAAATTTGGAGTGCCACATTTGGCCTTTTAGCCCTCCAACCAGACTACTTGTAGCCCAATTTTGGCTAGGCTAAATTTTAGGGTTAAGGCCAATGCATGTGCTTTCCAAGAAGAGAGAGTATCACACATGGGCAAGAGCATGAAACATCTCGTGCAACTGCATATCCAATAGCCAATATTAAAGGCGCGCTGACATTATCGATGACGTCAATTAGCTATTAGGTTTTATATATATATAAAAATAACATATATATATATATATAATTAGTTTTTGACCGTTGGAGGTCAAAACCATTGATTGAAAAGTTACTTTTTTATTTATTTAAAACCTTTTTAAACAGTACATAGTTGTGGAATTTATGAGTGTTGTACCATAATATTTCCCAAAATAATAAAATATGAAGGGCCCTAAAATATTGCCTTGGATAGCTGTAGATGGAAAAATTTAACCCTACACTTTAAAAAATATATATATATATTTTAAAGGGCTAAATGTATAGCTCTGGACTACATTTAGCCCTATGACTGGAGATGGCCTTACTTCCGCCCTTGAATACCACACAATAATTTTTCGAAGTAAATTGCCGTACACTGGACTAATCAAACTTAACTCCCCGAACTGAAAGGGTAATTTAGCCAATTTAATACCTAAATTAATTAAAATGGCCAATTTAGCCATTGCTGTTAAGTTTTGTAAATTTCATCCAATTTTTCATTAACTATAAGGGTAAATTTGTAATTTCGAGTAAAAATATCAAACAAAAAGAAAATAAATAATAAATAATAAGAAAAATACAATAATATTTTTTAAAAATTCTGATTGATGGGAAGGAGAGAGAAAGGGGCGGGTGATGGGTTGGAATTTTTCGTTTTTTAATTTTAAGATTTTTGTTATTATTATTGTGTTTTAAATATTTTAGTTTTTAATAATAAAAAAAATTTCAAATAGTAAGTTGCATGAAGGGCACGTGACTTTTTAAACTAAAAACTTGATGAAATGTGATAAAATCTAACGGTAAGGTTGAAATAGGCTATTTGTTTTTCTTTTAGGACTAAATTGGCTTTTTTTTTTTAAAATAAAAAAATTCATGGAGTTAATTTCAATAAATGTCATAATTCAGAGAGTAAAACTAGGGGTGGCATTTTAGACCGAAAAATCGCAAAAACCAACCGACAATTTATCGCAATGGAACCGCAATCGCGGGAAACCGAACCGCATTTGTGGTATGAAGAACCGAACCGCATTTGCGGTTGCGGTTACGGTATTTGATTTTCAAAACTTGCGGTTACAGCAAATCGCGACTATATTTTAAAAAAAAAATTCTACACGGAAATGGAACATATGACAACTTGTAAGTAATTAGTTTATTTATGCTTATGTTATTTATGCTTCTTCTTATAATAAAATGTTCTAAACTTATGTTTTTTTATTTGTAGATAGCATTGGTGCTCAAACAACACAACGAGGTCCTTCAAATCCACTCACCACCACCAACACTTGAGTTTGTAACATTGGTGCATTGCATTTTCCTTTTAGTTTATAACTTTAATTAACTTTGAATTGGATTTTTCCTTTGGGTTGTAACTTTAATTCATTTTGCATTGCATTTTCCTTTTGGTTTGTAACTTTAAAGGATTTGGAATTGGAATGCTTGAGAAGTTGAGGTTGTGAATGCTTGAGAAGTTTAACTTTAATTGGAATGCTTGGAATTGTAACTTTAATTTTCTTTAGGTTGTGAATACTTGAGAAGTTGAGGAGGTTGTGAATTTATATATGCTTGAGAAGTTGAGGTTGTGAATTTATTTCTTTATGTTGTAATTTATATTTTTGGATTAAAGTATGCTTGAACTCAAAAGGCTTCAAAAGAAGTATCAAAATTAGGCCTAAAATGTGGAAGATTGGATTTTTATGACACAAAAAGAACTTGTGGTTTTAAACCGCTAATTCATGGTAACCATTCGGTAAACCGCAAAAAGCGGTCGGTTTGCGGTGACCGCTTTTTGTGGTTTCAAAAATCACCATACCGAAAATAGTCGGTCGGTTTGTGATTTGAGCAAAAATTCGCGGTTACCGAACCGCAACCACCCATAAGTAAAACGGCTGAAAATCCTATTTTTTCGTCTCTAACGAAACTGATAACCAGATCGGAATGATAATTCGAACACTGTTATTATTTTGACTCAAGGTCAAAAAGATTTTTTTTATCGTACTTTCCATGATATCATATTGCAATAAATTATTATTTGTGACATCGTGGAAAACACTATTAAGATTACTATCGTTCTTAAAAGCAATGTGATTGCAAAGAAAGAGAAGAATCTCCAAACCTTAACAATGAAGTTATGATTAAAGATAAGTACCAATAGTACATATAAACACGTTTTTGTTAAATATTTTACGAATCAATTTATGGGTTATGCAATGTACATAACCACAATATTATCAAAGCAGGGAAAATAATAATTAATAAGATTTCATTTTGTACTTCGTATCAAAATTGTTGAGGCATTGAGCCTCTTGAAGTGACTAAAGCATTTTATTTATGAACTAAAGCATTCTATAATTAGTGGTTGTGAATTGTTCTTGCATGAAAATATCAACAATGCGGACATAATAGCGGAAAGCACACTTCACATAAAAATGGGACCTCCATGCCATGGGCGGCTCTAACGAATTAATTAATTATTTATTTTAATACAAATGATAGTGGGGCCAGAAGAGGAAGGAGGAATTGAACCTAAAACATCTAATGTCAAATGCTCTTAATTACTTGAGTTATAAGCCCATTGCATTTACTTTTAATTTTAATTTTAATTTTAATTTTAATTTTAATTTTAATTTTTTTTAATTTTAATTTTTTTTAAGCCCCTTGCCAACAAGGAATTAATTTAATAAAGGTTTAAGCTAATTTACATACAATTAGGACTAAATACAGAAACTCGGAATTCAAAAGATAGTTTATTTAACTTCTATGCAAATATTTTGTAGCCGGTTGTGCATTATCAGAAAAATCCTTTGCTATTGACCATCCAATCTATCACCATCAAACCATTCTTCACATTCCATTAGATGAAACAAAGAAAAAAAATAAGGCAAAATCTAACTATAGATGAAAGATACACTATCACATTCAAAATCTAAAGATACACCATCACATTCAAAATCTAAAGGATTGCGACTATCCGAAATGTTTTACATAAAAAAAGACATGGTGGCCAATGAAAAATCAAACTTAAGATTTTAGAGTCATAGTCTATTAACCCTAGCAAAAAGATAGCTTAGGTGTTGAAAATTTGTCCTCATCCAGGTCAATTGTCAAAGTATTTTGTACAATTCAAACTCAGTGGCCATGACTTGTGGGCACTACAATGAGCATAAACATTCAAGACCTGACTATCCCCTAAGAAAATTGTGAACTTTAAATACTTCGGATCATAGACAAAGCAATAAAAAGTTGAGTCAAAAGGTAAACTACATGAAACTTCAAAAGCAAAAAGTAACTGGTTGCAACTGTTTCAACTATAACCAGAAATGGACAAATTCCAAGCTACTTGATGAACTTGAGTCCTCTTTCAATATTAGAAGGCAAAGTACAGATAAATTAATAGCTAGTTGGTAGATTCACCACTGTCTAAAAGATTTCCATAAAGACAGTGTACTCAAGGCACATTAAACAGTACAATAACAATTATCAAGCGCTAACTAAACACTACGTACATTTAGGTATTGCAAACTCCTCTAGAGAGTGCAATTAGGGGCAAATTAATATAATTCAATCCCATAAGACAAGGCATGCACAAGTGTGTAACAAGAGATGAGAACACAAATATGACTTTTGTACAAACAATTTTGGCAAATGCCTTTTATATACATTTTCTTGCAGCTACGTAGCTCTGAATCCGAATAGAAGATGCTATACACTGTGAAGTAATGAGCTTTTCATTAATTAAGGCATAGCCTGATTACATATTTATACTACTCAATCAAACCATAGTTGTGTAACTAATCGTACACTCAGAACTAATTAATCACAGCCTGGCTGTGTAACTAATTTAAATAGACTGCCAGAAATGTTGACTAGGATGCGCAGATGGCTTAGCAAGCTGAGACTGAAATTATACATGCTGAAGTAGCATATGATACTAGAATGGACAAAATGAGCTAATCTCAGAAGTACATAACTCCATTCATCTCACTTCTCGTCAACAAGGACATGATTCAGACATTGACGATAAGAGGTGGAGGTGAGAGGGGACTTAACTTCCACAAGCCATGCATTCCTCTCGATTCTGCAGAAAACAAACTTCTGGCATATCAGCATTAACATCACCATCCACCTTGTTATTATTATCCTGCTCCACCAAATAAAACCAGAAATGTTTTGTTAGTTGTAATTATACAAGAGTGAAAGGAACTACTAGAAATTACTATGAAGAAGAAAAATAGCTCAAATTTATTTCAATAAAATCTCAAGATACCAGTGTATAAGTGTCATGTGAATGGTATGGTACTACTATAACCAATGGAAACATCACTGCTAATCATGGATTTGTTAGAAAATGAACTATGACGGCATCAGTTCAATATTCTCAACCAATGAATACAGGTTGTGCCATATGATTTATATGATTTATATGATTTAATATTTATAAGTACTTAAATAAATAAAACCGGAATACATTACGTTATTAAGCGCAGAGATATCAACAGTGAATTTGATAGCATCCGCTGCAGCTCGTGTTCTTAGATAATACATTCCCGTTTTCAAACCCTTGCACATGGGAAATTGAAATCAGATGGAGTTTTAGATCATTTTTAGCAATGAAATATATATTAATTAACTAGTTGAATAATTCATAAATGTCACCTTGATTGATAAATGTTCTTACCTTAGACCAAGCATAGAAGTGCAGGGACGTAAGCTTTCCAAGGTCAGGTTGATCCATGTGAATATTCAGACTCTGACTCTGATCAATGTAGCACCCACGATCAGCAGCCATGTCAACCAAGGTCTTCTGCTTGATTTCCCAGACAGACCTAATTGCATGTAACGACTTTAGCATCAAGCTTGATATGAAAAGACTAGTTAAAGTTGAAAATCGGGGAGGTAAAGAAGAAATCAGTACTTGTAAATAGCTTTCAACTCCTCAGGAATCTCAGGGATGTTTGAGATCGAGCCATTCTCATAAATTATTTTGCTCTTAACAGCATGAGACCAAAGACCCATTTCCGTTAAATCATGAAGTAGATGTTTGTTCACTACAACAAATTCGCCACTAAACACAAGAAAAGTTAGATGTGTAGAGTGCTGAAACCACTCCTTTAGAGCTACTAAGGTATGAAGGTTCAAACCTTAAAACTCTGCGACTATATATGTTGGATGTATAAGGCTCAAAGCACTCATTGTTACCAAGAATCTGGCTGGTTGAAGCGGTTGGCATAGGTGCTACTAGAAGGGAATTCCTCAGTCCATTTTTTGAGATCATTTGCCTAAGAGCACCCCAGTCCCATTGATCTGATGGTGTTACACCCCACATGTCAACTTGCAAAATTCCCTAAGGAAAAAAAGGAAAAATAGCATTTATATTTTCTAACTAGAAATTGGAATCCGGCCACAACAACACCGCAATTAATTTACAAATGAAGATCTGCATTTCTTAACCGAGCTTATAGAGAGAAGAAAGAAAACAAAAGGTAGAAATGAGGCACATTGGAGTACCAAAAGTGGAGTTCACCAAGAAATGTATGTATGCTGCACTAATTTGTTTTCCCTTTTGAGCCCTTCAGGCATTAATGTTAGGAGTTTAACAAACATTTATATTAATGCTTCTACTGTTATTTCCCACAGTTGCTTCTGCCGGTAACCAAATAAAGTTTAATAGGAGCATATGTTTTGCACTATTGCAGGTTTAAAATAGAATGTGAATAACTGGTTGATGTAGTACAGCCCGTAGGTATTAGATTAAGCACTTAAACAATAGAACATAGAAGAATATAAGAGACCGAGGAGAAGAAATATAGATCGAAAAGACAAGATAAAGGGCAGAAACAGTAGAACAAAGAAGAATATCGGGGATCGAGGAGAAGAAATATAGATCGAAGGGACGAAAGAAAGGACCGAATCAGAGAACCGAGAAGGAAGAACAGAAATCACATAGTTTAAGAGAAGGTTTACTCAATATTCAAATCTGAATTTTAAAGAACTACATGGGGGTATTTATAGCAAACTAAAACCTAGACATAATAGGATAAAAATCCCTTGCTTAAAGGGAAATCCTAACCCAAATAAAATAGGAAACTTAAAACTAGAAATCTGGAAATCTGGAAAAGTAGAAATCCTACTAGAATTGGGAAAACTAGAGAATCTAGGAAACTAACAAATACATTAGGAAACTAATAAATTTAGGTCATATGCGTCCTGCATCACTGGTCTAGTGCAATAACTTAATTTATAACAAAAGTTTAAGCACAGGTGAAGATAAGATGTTTTTGTGACCAGTTTAATCATTTCCTTTTGTCCAGTACTAATACAATAGACATGTTAAAAGTTCTCTTATAGTAGCACAACTTAAGAAGTAATTTGTCAATTACAATGGCCAAGGGCACCCTTTGACAACCCTACATCAAATTTATAATTTCCATACCACATGCAATTGCCATGTATCATACTAGAAACATAGAAATTTATTTAAAATATGCAGGCAAAACAAAGTAGCTCATATGCAACAATCTCACAACAAACGGTGACTGATCTGATAGAGAAAGTTATAGATACCCTGCTCACAGGACTGCCATGATATGTCTCATAGGGACCATCTAATGCGGCCAAATCAGTAGAAGCTCTCAATGCATGATAGTAAATAGTTTCAAAAATGTCTTTGTTTAGCTGTTGGGCCTGCAATTAACAAACCAAAACACTCAACTTAACTAAACCAAAGAAACTCCAATACAAACCTACAAAGTAAGACGATACCTCTGGCGAATCAAATGGCATGCCAAGAAGAATGAAAGTATCTGCAAGACCCTGAACTCCAATACCAATAGGTCTGTGCTGTAAATTTGACCTCTTTGCAGTTTCAATGGGGTAGTAATTGACATCAATTATTTTGTTGAGATTTGCAGTAACTATTTTAGTAACCTGAAAGGCAAAAATAGCCAATGATCAATCAAATTATAGCTCTCCAGTCCTTGTACATGGAAAGCAAGTAAGGGAAGAAAAAAAGGCCAGTACGTCTACTTATTAGTATTGTGTTTGTCTGCAAAAGGATGAACAATAGTCACACTAACAAACCTCGGCTAGTTTGTCAAAATCAAAGTACCGGTTCTTTGAATCTCTAGATCCAATCATCTTACAAGAGTTTGTGTCAATAGACACCTGCTGGAGAAACACGTATAAAAATGTTCAGCTAACCTATATTAATGAAAAAGAAAAAACTAAAATGAGATTCCAAAGACACACCTTTTCCTTGACATATCGGGGTAATGCAATGGATGCCAAATTACAAACTGCAGTTTCTGTTGGACTTGTGAACTCAATAATTTCAGTGCAAAGATTTGAAGACTTGATGGTACCCAGATTCTGCTGGTTACTTTTCCTATTACAAGAATCCTGGATGGAAGAAAAAAAAAAGGAAACTATAAAGAAAGAACTGGAAAAGCAGTGAAGCTATGGCATGCCAGTTCTCTTAGAATACCTTGAAAAGCATAAATGGAGTTCCTGTTTCAATCTGCGAATTTAATATCTCAAACCACAGTTTCCTTGCAGGGATAACCTTCTTTGCCTTACCCTAGTCCATGAAAAACATAATTTTCAAATCACAATCAATCCAGAAAAATATTATATCATTTCAGTGCTGTCACAGCAGCAGAAGATCAAGTTTACCTCGTCCTCATATTGGGTGTACAACTTCTCAAATTTTTCACCCCAAAGATCAGCTAAGCCAGGAGCCTCATTTGGACAAAACAAAGACCATTTCCCATCACCTTGGACTCTTTCCATGAAGAGATCAGGAATCCAGAGAGCATAAAATAGATCTCGAGCCCGATGTTCTTCCTGTTAAAAAAAAATTTGATGAAAATTTATCCTACACAACAGGTTTCAAGAAAAATTAGGGACAAAAATCATTGGGATACAACAGGTATCTGGAAACCCATTAAGTAACACATTTGGAGTAAAGTCGCAGCATATAGATTTGCAAATCATTAAGCTAATCCTATTTCTGCTTCACCTTGCCATGGTTCCTTTTAAGATCTAGAAGATCAAATATATCAGCATGCCATGGCTCCAAATATATGGAAAAAGCACCTAAAAGGAAACAAAATTGATGATGTCAAACATGGAAGAAAAATAAATTAAATATTACAAACATTAGAACACATATAATGGAGCTCTAGATCTACTTTCTTTGAAATAACAATGTACATAAACACGGAGATGCTAGAACTTTTGAAAGTACCCTTTCTTCTGCCCCCCCCTTGATCAACATAACGAGCAGTGCTATTAAACACTCGAAGCATAGGCACAATACCATTCGAAGTACTGTTTGTCCCACGAATGTAGCTACCTGTTGCACGAACATTATGAATGGAGATACCAAGCCCTCCAGCTGATTTGCTAATAATAGCACATTCCTTCAATGTATCAAAAATTCCTTGAATACTGTCATCTTTCATGCACATAAGGAAGCAGCTACTCAACTGCCAATTAACATTTAAAGTGAAAAATATAAATACATATAAACATGGTAAATATAAAGGTCCAAGCAGTAGAACTTCCAAATTGGAGAAATTATCTAATCATACATACTTGGGGCTGTGGAGTTCCTCCATTGAAAAGGGTCGGAGTAGCATGAATGAACCAACGCTGGGACATCAAATGGTAGGTTTGGAGAGCAGACGCAATGTCATCCTTGTGTATACCAACAGAAACCCTCATCAACATGTGCTGCGGCCTTTCCACAATCTTCTCATTTACCTTTAAAAGGTAGGACCTCTCTAGAGTTTTAAAACCAAAGTAGTCATAATCAAAATCTCTTTCATAAATGATCTCACTGTCCAAGCGTGAAGCATTCTGAAACAAATGAAGAGAAAAATAAGCCAGTGGATCCTCATCCTTTTTTTTTCTTTCCCTCTCAGTCAAATGTCAAGAGTATGACTCATCACTCTTCATGAAGTTAACTACATTAACCATAAATTTATTCAACTTTACTTTACAATTATAAGCACATAATCAATAGCTAACTCAGCTGCATATGCTCATAATTACCGGTGTCAAAAATATATAAGCATTGTTAGAAGTTAGAATAGAAAATGTTCCATCAGATTGATTAAATAAAATTATATGAGTACCTTCATAATTATTTCATAAACATCATCAGCAACCAGAGGAGCCTTCTTCCCAGACCTTTTATCAAAGAAGTTGTACATGACTCTAATCCTGCATCACTCGTTGATAAAAATTACTTCCTTTAGCATGCAAATCCAATCTTCAAACCCCAAGAAAGCCTCAAAAACCAAAGTAAACAAAACAAAACCAGTTGGGCTAAATTAAACACTCACGTTTCCGAAAATGACTCCTTTGTACTCTTATGCAGATTCGAAACAGAGATCCTAGCCGCCAACTACACAAAATTTTTACATCAACCACATAAAACAGCAAAAGGAAGGCAAATCCATTATAGCCCAAAATTTCAAACTCAATATAACACACATAAACAACAACATTAACAGCAACAACAAGAGCAGCAGCATTGTTAAAACTTAAAACTATGCACAATAACTCGAAATTCAACAAACCCATATAGTAAAACTAAGCAAGAGGACCAACCAAAGCATAGTCAGGGTGGTTTGTAGCCATAGACGCCGTAGTCTCAGCAGCCAACTCATCAAGTTGTGTGGTGGTGACACCATTGTAGACCCCAGCACAGACCTTGTGTGCCACGAGCACCGGGTCACAGTGCGCGGCATTGAGCCCATAACTAAACCTCTGTAGACGGGCAGCAATCTTGTCTAATTGCAAAGGTTCTTGGCGCCCATCCCTCTTAACCACGTACATTTCTGTAAGCCTCAAAAGAAAGTTTGAGATGATGGGTTTCCAGAGTGTGAAATGAATGTGAATTGGGACTTTCGTCGAACGAGTTGCAGGGACAATTGGTGCGTGACCACATGAGTGAGTGTTGGGGTGTTTTATACACACTGCACAGAGACGTGGGTGTGCGATCGAAGAAGAGTGTAAGAGAAGGAAGAGTGCAAGAGAAGGAAGAGTTCAAGACTCGAGAACCAAGACTGAATTTGAACCGGTGGTTATTTTTCTTGTGTTGCTTCCTTTTGTTCTGTTCTTTTTCCCTAAATTAGCAGTGTTATTTTTCATGCTTTTTATTTTTTAATTAAAATTTAACTAAAAATACTAGAAAGCTATTTTAGAGAATCATAAATGATTTATTTCTTTTTTTTTAGTTTAGCATAAATGCTTCCTCTCCATATAAAACTAGCCTCTCCGCACGCGCTTCCGCGCCTGCGAGAGGTTTTTTTTATTTATAAAAATTTAATTTATTTTAGAATTAAAAAAGATAATGGGTAGTTGTGTTCCATAAAAATAGGATTCATTATCTGATTTTTCTTTTAATTTAATTTTTTTTAATATGAACAAGTGTGAATGTACCATTTTATCCTCATTTAATTAATAATTTCAATTCTTAATGTTTGCATTAACCAAGGGCATTTTTTGGTATTTTGAATGTTTCACCATTCTCTACCTTTTGCTTTATATATATAGATAATAATAAAAAATAGTTAGCATTAAATAAGTACTTAAAATAGCATTAAAGTAAAGCAGTATTTAATTATAGGGAGCCACTAGGAGTTCTTTCTCTCATATCAGATTTAGGAGCTCCTAGAAGTCTTCCTATTTTAGGAGTTGGAGAGAGAGCATGGTTGGAGGTGGGTTTTTTCACTTCCTCTCTAAATTTTATCTGAGGTGGTTTAGGGAGTTCATTGTGGAAGCTCTAAATCCATATTTTACATGGATGAAATGGATGTCAACATAATACCTAATACCTAATAAATGACTTAATTCCCAATCTATTTGCAATCTAGTGGTGAATAGTGTATTTCTATGCCTATAAATACTAGGCATCAAAGATGAATCAAAATATCAAGCCTTAATACAAGTTTGTGAAGAGCATTTATATGGCTTTCTCTACCACTAAATTCTCTCTACAATTTCCTTAGTTACATAACACGTTATCAACACGTGTTTCTAACCAACCAAGATTTTTATGGTTTTCAATCTTGGTATGCCTCTTCCTTTATAACTCTTATTGTATTTCAATTAATTTGTTTCATTAACATCCATATATGCTATCTTATGAAGTTTATGGCTAAAAGTTCATTTTCTGCCTCTTTGTAATTTGCGAGTGCAATTTGAGATGGAAATGTCATTTTCTTTTAGGTGAAGTGATGGTGAGAGGGGTAGCTAAGGTTTGCTTGCTTCGAACTCTACTTTGTTTATGCTATAGTCTGGCTCTACTCCACTCCACCAACACTTTCTTCTCCTTAAATAGGTCAAGATGCTTCTTAGTCTTTTCTTGCCCCAATCAAAAGCTACAACCTCAACCAAAGGGCTTCAATGAATTTCCTTATTTCTTCGGCCATAAGATTTTGTTTTTGTGTTCTTTCTTGCTCACAGAATTCACAATATTCTACCAAGAGGTATTTCTTCACCTCAATCGAAAGTTGTTACCCGTTTTCTCATTGTCATGTTCTATAACTTCCCTATTTTTTCTCTCCACGAGGTTGTAAAAAGAGAGAAAGGGGCCACCTCAACCACAATCATGACCATGACCCAACCACCTCGACCACCACTTACCACTACCACCATCACCACATCCACTACCATCACTACCACCACTACTTTGGTAAGAGTATAGTGTCCATAGTATTAAGAGGGTCCACTTACGAAGGACATAAGAGAGAGCTGCATGGGTTGCCTCGTTGAGCTTCTCCTCAACAACCAAAAGTAATAATGTTAACAATAATCATCTACACTCCTACACCCATCAAGACAACATGAATATTCCATGGCTACGTGAAGTTGTCTACCATCCTAATTGAGACCCATCTCTTGTTGCTTTCCATGCCTTGTAATTTATTCCCATCATTTTTTGTCTCCCATGCTTTAGTTGTCTTTCTTTCAGTACTATATAAACCAACTTTGTAAAAACAAAACAACACTACAAAAAGCCTAACAACAACAATCAATAGAAAATGAGTGCTTTTCCTTTATACCTTTTAAATTTCATTTTCCTCTTTTTGTTTTTTACTTTTATGGTATCAGAGCAGCCATAGCCACACAGCATTGCCTAGCTCAATATGTCTGAAAATTCAGATATGATGTATCCATTTGCATACCCACAAAATTCTTCCTCTCATCCATCTATTCAAACACAACATATTGTCTCTCTTCTTCCAACAAAACTCAACCGTAACAACTACATTTTGTGGAAAGATTTATTTCTTCCTATTCTCAAGGGCTATGATCTCATTGGTATTGTTGATGGATCGAAACCTTGCCCTCCTCAGTTCCTCACCACCACAACTAAGCAAACATCCACCGCCTCACCCCAACAAATCATAGAAAACCCCTCTTTTGTGCTTTGGAATAAAAAGGATCTCAGCTGCAAAATCATCATCAATGCTTCTCTCACTGAAAGCATTCGTCCCCACACAGTAGCTTCCAACACCAGTCGTGACCTTTGGTTAAATCTCGAGAAAAGGTTCTCCTCTACAACAAAGTCTTATCTTTTCTCGCTCAAGACAAAAATCCAAACACTCAAAAAGGGCTCTCTCTCGATTCTTGAATACTTACAGCTCATTAAGCAAACTGCAGATGCTTTTGCTACAGCTTATTCACCACTTGTTGACATAGATTTTGTGGCCCATGTTCTCAATGGCTTACCCCCTGAATATGACGCCTTTGCCACCTATATCTGGGTTCGATCTGAGACAGTCAATGCTAAAGAGTTTCATGGCCTTCTCCTAAGTAAAGAAATGGCTCTTAGTAATCATACTCCCACACTTTCTGAACCACAAACCATTGCCTTTCACACCATATCATCCAAACCTAACTCTCAACATCCACATCCTTCACCTTACAATAACCCCAACTAACAATCCACTTCTAACTTTTGCTCAAATCGAAATTTCAACAAGTTCACCAAACCACCATCATTCTCCAACAGGCCCTCATTTCATCCCACAAACTACTTCAACTACAGAATCACATGTCAACTTTGTTTTTAAAAAGGCCACATTTCCTTGACTTGTAGGAACGGTCCTGATCACTCCTTCCCAAGCCACACTCCACCATCAAGGCTCACAACTAACCACTACACCATCCTAACACCTTCCCCATCTGCCTCTTATGTATCAAACATGCCCAACAACTATCATGCTGCTCTCACAAATTGGTATGTGGATTCAGGTGCAACCAACCACATCACAAATGATCTGTCAAATCTTTCCTTGCATTCTAAGTATACTGGTGTGGACAAGGGTCTATGTTGCCAATGGTCAAGTTTTGAACATTCAAAACACTGGTAAAACTCATCTCTTCACATCCAAATCCCAATTCACACTTAATTATGTCCTGCACACTCCTCAAGCCACACACAATCTTCTCTCTGTCAATAAGTTTGTTAAAGACAGTTGTTGTTATATCATTCTCACACCTTTTTCATGTCTTATCAAGGATCTTGTTTCGGGGAAACTTCTATATCAAGGCCCTACTAAAGGAGGTCTTTATCCAATTCGTCTCTCCAATTCATCTAGCAACCCTATATGCCTTCATGCTAAAGCTCCTTCACCATTATGGCATCAATGATTAGGCAACCCTTCTCAACAAGTTCTTCGCCAACTCTTAGCTAAGAACAAAATCAATGTAACCGATTCATTGAATCAACTTCCTCTATGCTCAAATTGTTATTAGGAAAGGTCTCAAAATTGCCTTTTAAACCTTCCGCTTGTAATTCTAGTGTACCTTTTCAATTAGTTCACTATGATATTTGGGGACTAGCCCCTCAATCTTATGTGTCACATTATCTATTTTATATTATTTTCATGGGTTAACTGGTGATTTGCCCCCTGAACTTGTACCTAACTTTCAATTTACCCCATATCCTTTTTTTAAAAAAATAGAAAATTAAGGATATAAACTTTTTTTTTCTCCAATTTCCCCCTTACCGTCTAAATCCTCAACATTTCATCCAATTTTCAGTTAAATCATTTGTAAAAATTATTTTTTTTGGAAAAAAAAAATAAGAAGAAAAAGAGGAAAATTAATAACCAAAAAAACAAAAAAAGAAGAAAAAAAAAATCCTGGGAACCTAGCCCCCATCCAAACGATTGAAGTTGAAGACTGAAGCTAGAACTTGTGTCCAAGTCTTCTTCAAATTCAATAAACACCCTTTGTATTGTGTTGTACCAAATGCAAACTGTGTTGTAGTTTGTTGAGGAGATCAATAGATCTTGTTTGCAACACTCCCTAGCCAGAGTTTGTATTGTGAATATTTTAACCAAAAATCAATGAGACAAGCATAAAGCCTTTCCTGGAAGCAGAATAAAAAAGTTGGTATGTAGAGTTTTTGGGCAAGAGCTCCTCTATGTCTGATTGATGTCCACCGACTGATCATTCGACTTTCTCACTTCGATTTCTTTCTCCTCCCAATTCTCCCATGACCACCCCTCCCTCAGAAACCCAAAAATCCCAGCCAGCAACCACAAACCCAGAAACCCAAATACCCCTTTTGGTTTTTCACCCCTTCCCACAAACCCAGAAACCCCCCTCGATTTCTGATTTTTCACCCCAATTCTCCCATGACCACCCACAAACCCACAAACCCTAACCAGCGACCACAAACCCAGAACCCCAGAAACCCTTTCTGGTTTTTCACCCCTCCCCACAAACCCAGAAACCCCCATCGATTTCTGGGTTTTCACCCCAAATCTCCCATGACCACCCACAAACCCAGAAACCCCAGCCAGCAACCACAAACCTAAAAGTCCAGAAACCCCGCCCCAACCCCAAACTCCAGTCCCTACCCACCAACCCCTATCTCGCCGACCACTCACTCGCTATCCTCCAAGAAACTGCCAAATGACGACCCCATCCCACACGAGCCTGGAGAGAGAGAGAGAGAGAGAGAGAGAGAGAGAGAGAGAGAGAGAGAGAGAGAGAGAGTATTTTAATTTTAATTTTAATGTACAAAATGATCATTTTGCCCTCATTTTTAACGACAAATTGGATGAAATGTTGTGGATTTAGATGGAGGGGGAAAATTGGCAAAAAAAAAAAAAAAAAAAGAAGTTCATATCCTTAATTTTCTAAAAAAAAGATAGGGGGTAAATTGAAAGTTAAGTACAAGTTCAGGGGGCAAATCACCAGTTAACCTTATTTTCGTTGATGACTTCACTCGTTTTTGTTGGTTCTATCCTTTACATCACAAATCTGAAGCTTTCCAATCATTCAGGCTGCTGATAGAAAATCAATTTGATCATAAAATCAAAATCTTTTGCAGTGTCAATGGGGGGGGGGAATATGCTAGTAATGCTTTCAAACACTTTCTCACTTATCATGGAATTATCCAACAATTTTTATGTCCACACACACCTGAACAAAATGGGATATCCGAAAGGAAGCATCGGCATATCATTGAGCTTACTAGGACTCTTTTTGCACAGTCAAATCTTCCTATAAAATATTGGGTTGAAGTTGCACAAACGACAGTCTATCTCATAAATAGAATGCCGTTGTTTTCTATCAACTTCACATCACCTCTCCAAAAGTTATGCCATTGTGCACCAGATTATCAATTCATGAAAGCCGATGGTTGTTTATGTTATCCTTGGCTACGCCCCTATTCTCAACACAAGTTGGCTTCTAGGAGTCAAAAGTGTGTTTGTAGAATATGAGAAAAAACAAAAAGGGTACAGAAGCCTTAAACCAATTTCTGGTAGGGTATATATTTCTAGACATGTTACTTTGGATGAAAAAGTGTTTCCCTTTCACACCAATTCAACCTTTCTAGCACATAGCACGACAATCACACACCCAATACAACCCATCTTCTCTCCATTACCATTACCATTACCATTACCCCTACCATGTGCCACCACCTTCTCTCCACCAGTTTCCATTTCCTCATCATCTCAAACACCACCATCATCACCAATTCGTACATCAACATCACCCACTCATGTCTCATCACCATCTTTAACATCACCAATTTTGTCTTCACCAAGCTCACCACAGACCGCACCACCAACATCTATTCATTTATCATCTCTTGTTGATTTACCTTCAATATCTCAGCATCTTACTATTCCCCTCAACATTTCACCCCTTCCACAACATTCTCAACCCCCCCAATATCTCTGCTTTACATCTCAACCATCACCCGATGCTCACCCGTTCCAAAATGGGTGCACTCAAACCTAATACCTTAACATATCTTCATCCTTTTCACTTTGCCCTTCACACAACTATATCTATCCCCACCCCCACTACCTATCACCAAGCCATCAAAGATTCTCGATGGCAAACAACCATGGAAGAAGAAATAGCAGCTTTTAAACACACCAACACCTGAACTCTAGTCTCACCACACCCATCCCATAACATCATAGGTTGTAAGTGGGTTTATCGAATCAAATATACTTCGGATTGTGCCCTTGATTGATTTAAGGCCCAATTAATAGCCAAAGGCTTTCACCAGCAACTTGGACTTGATTTTTTGGAAACTTTTAGTCCCATTGCCAAACCTCCAACTATTCGACTCATTCTTTCCATTGCTGTTCAGTTTGATTGGCCAGTCACCCAATTGGATGTCTCTATGCATTCCTTTGTGGCACACTTAACGAACATGTCTACATGACCTAGCCGCAAGGTTTCATTGATCAATCCAATCCCCACTTTGTTTGCAAGCTCAACAAGTCTCTCTATGAGCTCAAACAAGCCCCGAGAGCTTGGTATGAAGAGTTGTTTACATGTCTTCTCTCTATGGGCTTCAAGCCTTCCTCAACCGACCCTTCCCTTTTCATTCAAATCACAAACATCATTACCTTTATCTTGGTTTATGTAGACGACATTCTCATTACAGGAAACTCTCCCCCTCACTGTCAGTCCATCATTCACAACCTTCATAAAAAATTCTCCATGAAGAATCTTGGACTAATTCACTACTTTCTTGGCATTAAAGCTAAAAGAACCTTTGACTCTATCTTTCTTTGTCAAACAAAGTACGTTCATGATTTACTTTCCAAGACTTCCATGCTAGATGCAAAACCATGTTCTTCTCCTTGTTCTTCCATCAAACTTAACACTACCTCAGGATAACCACTCAGTGATCCCACTTATTACAGGTCCTTGGTAGGTGTTTTACAGTATCTAACTTGGACTAGACTTGACATTTCTTTCTCTGTTAATCAGGTATGCCAACATATGCATCAATCTAGGACTCCTCATCTCACTGTTGTAAAGTGAATTCTCAGGTTTCTCAAAGGATCGCCTAACCATGGTCTTCCTCTGATGCGGATTGGGTAGGTTGTCCAATTGATCGAAGATCAACCTCTGGCTTTTGCATCTTTTTTGGCCAAAACCTAATTTGTTGAAGTGCTAAGAAGCAGCAAATAGTAGCTCGTTCTTCCACTGAAAGTGAATATAGGTCCTTTGCCCATGCTGCATCTGAAATCACTTGGCTTTTTTATCTGCTCAATGATCTTCAATTTTCTCTCAAGCAACCACCTTTTCTTCTCTATGACAACATCAGTGCCATTGCCCTATTTGCCAATCCAATCTTTCATGCCAGAACGAAGCACATAGAAATTGATTATTACTACATCAGAGAATTGGTTACCATCAAGGTCATTGATATTGCTCACGTGTCCTCTCACCAACAACTTGCAAATATGTTTACCAAATCTCTCCCAAAGCACATGTTCAAAGAGTTAAGTGCCAAGCTAATCAAGCTCAACCAACATATTAGCTTGAGGGGGGATAATAATATTAACAATAATCATCTACACTCCTACACCTACAAAGACAACATGAATATTCCATGGCCACGTGAAGTTGTCTACCATCCTAATTGAGACCCATCTTTTGTTGCTTTCCA